CTTGCGCATGCACAGTGGACAGCCAGCTGTCAGCAAGGTGCTTATAGTAAAGATGCCGGTGCCAGGAAAGAGAGACACAGAGGTTGAAAACTGCTGGGCCAAGCACAGTGCTGGAACACAGGACAGGTGAGTGGCTGTTTATTAAAAGTCAGCTGCTACAGTTTTGGTAGCAGATCACTATTCATTTTAACATAGGAGACTGGAGCTCCACTTTGAAGTGATTATAGAAGTCAATTATTTATTTTTTTTAAATAACAAACATGTCATACTTACCTGCTCTGTGCAGTGGTTTTGCACAAAGCAACCCTGATGCTCCTCTTCTCAGGTCCTCCACCAGCGCTCCTGGTCCCTCCCTCCTGCTAAGTGCCCCCACAGCAAGCAGCTTGCAATGGGGGCACCAGAGCAGGCTCGCTCCAGTTCCGCTACGCTGTGTGTCCATTCACAGAGCCGTGGCTCAGCCCTTCTCCTCTCTGTTCATTGACTCACTGGCTGTGATTGACATCCGCTGCTGTTTCAGCCAATGAGGAGGAACAGTCCCCAGAAAGCTGAGGGTATTGTGAGCATTGCTGGATCACGACGATGGGACTCAGGTAAGTGTGAGAGGGGGCTGGGGGGGCTGCTGAACACAAAAGGTTCTTTACCTTCAAACACACAATGCATAAAGGAAAGAAAACTTTGAGCCTTTACAACCACTTAACTACTATTGCTCTCAACCTCCTCCACATTTTTTTTTCTTTCTGCGGTGATCCAACCTCCTATTAGAGGGGAGCTACATTTGTTCTCCATGGTCCCACTGTAAGTAGGAGCATAGCCACCGTATTGGAGTATGACGTATAGAGCAATGTACATGACTGCAACTAATGTGCACTGCTTATTTTCAGCAAACAGAAGTGAGAGGAAAAGTGAGAGGTTCAGGAGCTCATGGAGGATGTTACAAGGATGCAGAAAACCACAGTAAGAAAAGAGATGAATGAAAAACAGATTGACAGGGCCATTAAGCAGTGCATGATTGGTTATCATGTGTTGTCACTTTAACAGCTTGTGAGCTGCCAGTGTCCAAGTACAGGGCTGGTATGTGCCCATTGCACATCTGTCGCTATAAACACTTTGCTTGCCATCCACTGAAACTCTGTTATCAACTGCTCAAGCTGCCAGTCAGTGCTTCTCTTGACTACTAATACGATATCAAAATGGATATTTGCCAACAGCCCCAGATTTTTAAGGATTGGCCCCAGTTTTGGGAACAAAAGAGTTAATGCTTCTGAAAAAAACTAGACTAATCAATTAATAGTACAACTAAAGTCTCCCAGATGACAGTCTAAACAAGGACCAAACCCAGCTACTATGATACACAAGCCTTATAAAATAAATTTAAAAAAATCCCATCCCAGACACTGCAGCTCACAGTGGGCAGGACTAGGTGTAGTCGGATGCTGATCGACGAGCTTACAATCTGACTATGCCATTAGCTACACTCTCTGCAGCTTCTTATCATCCCACTGTAGTGTAAGAAGGTACAGCCTACACAAGAGTGACAACTGCACTCTGAATTCAGGAGCAGTGCAGCATCATTGCCACACCATCACATCAAGCTGCATTAGACGGAACTCACTGGCAGGATCAACAGGTATTTGTGGGACTCTGCAGGAGGACTTAAAGTGTTACTAAACCACAACAGTAAAATCAGTCTGTACATGCAGTAAAGCATGCTTATTCTACTCACTGTGGAACCTAAGGGGTTAATCCTATGCATTGTGTAAAAAGGCTGTTTGATCCTTTCTTCTCTGTTCCTCCCCTTTTCCAAGCAACCACCTCTTATCTACTGACTAAACTGTAGGCATGCACATGCTCAGTTTGGTGTATATTGCTAGAGGGTTTTTTTTTTTCTTGGGAGAGTGCATGTGATCAGCACAGGGCCAATCAGCACTGTCCAGACAGAGGTCAGGGGATTTGCATCCTCCTAGAGCAGAAAGAAAACTCCTCCTACAAGCTTTAGCTAGTGCTTGTCTGAACACTGATAGAAGTCACAAGACTGCTCTAACTGCTGATGAGGAAAGGTATTTAGTGGTTTATATTTACTAAAATAATTGCACTTCCATGTTGTGTGTACTGTGGGAGACCAGATATAGTGAATGCAGGGTCCTGGGTTTAGTAACACTTTAAGCTGGCCATACATTATACAACTTTCTTACTCAATTTCCTTAAGATTTACTTTCAACTATGTAGTGCAAAGGCTTGCCTGACTGCATACAATCAGTGTTTAAATTTGACCTCATATTATATGGTTTTGGAAAATCCAAAAGAAAAAATTGTATAATGTATGGCCAGTCTAAGAGAAGACAAAGTAATGATGCCCTTATAATTATGCTGCAGCACATATATTTTTTTAATGGGTGAAGGCCAAAGTTCTAATTTTTTTTTTCATTTTTATGATCTTCTAATGTCTAAATCTGGGAATGCTGGAAAAGACAAAAATGGGTTATGCTACACAAACCGAGACACTAACACAAAATCAGTGAAGCAACACAACCACATCATCATACATCACTGAAATGTTATGGACAAAAATACTTCATTTTATGACAGTGTTATAAGTGCACTTTCCAGCATTTCCTGAAGAGACAACACAAGTGACTACAGATTGGTGTAAGCTGCTGTCTATTGACATAGTTATATGTAAGCCCTCATGAGCAGGGCCCTCCTAACCCCGTTGTATTGAATTGCAATGTAACTGTACTGTCAGTTGGTATATCGTGAAGCACTGCACAAAATGTTGGCGTTATATAAAACCTGTATAATATTAATACAAATAACAATCTCATTGGTCAGCTGAAAAACCCTCTCTGGAGGCAGAAACTCTACTCATACTAAGGCTAGGTTCACACCATCGCAGGTCTGCAGGCCATGCTTGAGCGGCCACAGCAGCCCATTAAATTGAATGGGCTGCTGTGCCTGTGTTTCAAGCAGGAAAAAGGTTCCTGCAGCATTTTGAAAACGCAGGGGCTGAAAAATCACATGATGCTTTTGCACCATGCGATTTCCCTGTGGTTCCCACAAATGCACTGCATTTGGATGCTTGGGGGCGCCATTAACCACCTCCCATCCGGCCATTGTATATAAATGACCGGACGGTGGCAGTGCAGGGTCGGGTGGCCATTTATAAACGGCCTCCCCGCACCCTGCTTGTGCGCGCTCCCTGGGAGCGTGCAGCACCGCGATCCGGTGCCCGCTGTGTCCTCCGGACACAGTGGAACACCAATCGTCGGACGGGACCTCTGTGCGAGGTCCCAATCAGTGATCACATGCAGAGTTGTAAGCAAGCTGTCACTTCTGCAGGGGTGCACTGACAACCCATGGGACCCCCCAGGCAATAGGGGATCATTGGGCCCCTGTGCCCTTGCCCAAACTCAAAAAAGCCTACGAAAAAGGTACCAGGGGCATCTCATGGGGCCCCCTACTGACCCCGGGCAATGCCCGAGTTTCCAAATGGTCAGTCCGCCCCTGCACTTCTGACATCATTGCTTACTACGTGTGAAATCTGTGAATGATCACAGAGGTCACATGGTACAAGGCTATTCACAACAGCCTTGTACCATATGACAAGCTGTGACCAATCACAGCTCACTCAGTAGTTCTCAATGGCTGCAAGAATGCAGCTAGAGTGAAGGATGAATGATTGCTTTTACAGCCTTTATGCGTGTAAAGGAATCAGTGTAAAAAAAAAAAAAAAAAATCTTTATCACCCCCCACAAGTAGTAGTGTCACCATGGTGACACTGTACTGCTAGGGTGACAGTATGTAAAAAAAAAAACAAAAAACAAATAATATATTAAAAAAAAAAAAAAGGTTTAAAAATTATAATTTTGGTTATAAACTAATTTGGGTTATTTTTTTTTTTTACGAAAAAGATAACGGAATACATTTTGGCCAAGATTTATGATGAAATACTATTTGCAAAATTGTATAAGAAAAACACTTTTTTTCAAAATTTTTGGACTTTTTCATTAACATAGCAAAAAAATAAAAATCCCAGTTGTGAATAAATATCGGTCTCAAAAAAATGCTAAAAAATTCATATGGGTACAGTGTTGCATGACTGCCCAATTGTCATTCAAAGTGTGATAGCACTGAAAGCTGAAAATTGTTCTGGACAGGAAGGGGGTAAAAGTATCCGGACTGGAAGTGGTTAAGAATGAATGATAGGCAGGCATATTTTTAAACAACAGAGCTTTGGCTGCAGGTAGTTGTCCGTGCGGGAACAGACACCATGCCTGTGTTTCCCGATTCCAAGTGCCCCCACTCCCCCAAATAGGCTTGAGATACCCAATAAACAATACCCAACCAACTTATGTATGAATGGGTATATACATCTCTTTGCACTCAGTACTTTTGAAAGTCCTTTATATAATTTGAATACATATTAGCACATATTAATTTGCATACACTTGAGTTAGTTTGCTATGGCTAGTGTGATGTTTTTTTTGAGGAGCACTGCACTTTGCCATTTTATAATGAATTACTACCATATTGAAGGACTTTATTTAATGATCAGTATATTTCCCCAAAATTCCTACATATTGGTTCTCAAAATAAACATTTACCAAAACTGCATGTGGCTTGTGAAGACACAATAATAACAAAGGGAGGTTTCATGGATTGAGAATGGCTTGTGCATTGATTGAGTAACTGTCATGAAAGGAACACAGGGGCTATCACTGCTTGTTCCTTTCTGAAGATATTACAGCTTTACTAACATGGCGACCCCTTGACTTGACTACCTCCTAAATCGCTGACTCAAAACTAGAATGTAGATGAGAAAAGTCAAGAAAAAGTCAGAAGTCCTTATCGCCATAATTGTTCCAGGTCAGCGAGACAAAGTAGTGAAGCAAGAGGGTCAGCCGGATCACTAGCCCTACCAGAAATAAAGACAAGCAAAAGTAGCCTTGGTATTTCTTTGGTGACAAGTTTACTTGTCTGTACTCATAACCTTGCTTTAGTACCTTAGGTAATGGTTTCTGGAAAGCCTGCATGGCCAGGAGCAGAGGGGCGGCTGTAGGCCAATTGTAGTATCTAATGAGGACAAAAAAAAAAAAACATCCATCACACTTCATATCATGAAGACAAAATACAACAAGTAACATTAAATAAGAGCTTGTTATGTAACGGAGTGTGATTATTAAACAAAATATTCACATTCAGTTTTACAAGGAATTGCAGCAGTATTAAACCTGAAAGTAAACATTATATTGCAGCTTACCAATTCATAGATGTGATAGCTGCATTCGTTTTCTTTTTAGGCTTTGTTTCTTTTTTTTTCACTTGGTGATCCCGCCAGCAAGTCTGTTGTTTTTCAACAGAACAAGCTGCCCTGCAGATGTAACAGTTAGAAGGATAAGACAACCCTTTTACAACTGGCGGGGGGGGCTTTTATTCTTTTATTTATGTAAAACCCCAGTCTCAGAAGAAAAAAAAAAACCTGTTTGCTATAGCTGCTTATAAAGCATTTGCTGGAGTTCAGCTTCAGTGTATTAATATATCTAAATTTGCTACCGCATGTAACAATCCCCCCCCCCCCCCATCTAGATTGCCGAAGGTGCTGCAGATTGTCTCTGTTGCTCTAATACAGGAGGTGTGTTACTGGCTGGATCACCAGGTGAAAACAGAGGGGAAAAAAAGATTAAAAAAAAACTAATGCAGCCACCACATCTATGGACTTATAAGCCACAATGTATTGCATGTTTGGTTTTGGGGTTTAATACCGCTTAGTGCTGTGAAATTGTTGCACAGGTGATGTTAGCATGTTGAGCACTACACTCCTCAGGAGTAAATGACAATAATAATGATATGCTTCATGAATTATTCACAGGGCATAGTACAGCTGTATTTGCATATATGTAAATGAAACGGGACACAGGTGTGAAAAGTCAACTAGGAGTTTGCAGCACCACTGTCTCAAGCCAGCACTTTATGCTGTTACCATGGAAGTGAATAAAATCAAATCAGTGACTTGAAAACAAGTAGGGAATTTTGTATAGTGCCAAGACAAATACATAACGTGCAATGACAGGCTGAGACTACAGCCAGCCATAGATGGATCATTGTGTTCTGCAGGCAGGAAAGGCTCCCCATGAGCAGAATACAATAGCTCAGTTGGAGAGATTCCCCCCCCATTGACACGGACTTGGTGGGAGGAAAGAAAATTGTATCATCTGTGGCTTATGGCCTTAGGGCTCATTTGCAACCTTGTGTTGCATTGCATTAATGATTCATTTAGGATGGGCTGCAAATGCACAATGCAATGAAAAAAGGACATAACCCAATTTTTTCAGCACCATGCACAGCATGTGCGTTGTTCTGTGCTGCAGCGCTGGTGCATTGCCTGCTACTGCATTAGAGCCCCTTAAAATGACTGGCACCACAACGTAACATACTGCTGTACATACAGTCAGGTCCATTAATATTGGGAAATCGACAATTCTAACTTTTTTGGCTCTATACACCACCACAATGGATTTGAAATGAAACGAACAAGATGTGCTTTAACTGCAGACTGTCAGCTTTAATTTAAAGGGTATTTACATCCGCATCAGGTGAACGGTGTTGGAATTACAACAGTTTGCATATGTGCCTCCCACTTGTTAAGGGACCAAAAGTAATGGGACAATTGGCTTCTCAGCTGTTCCATGGCCAGGTGTGTGTTATTCCCTCATTACCCCAATTACAATGAGCAGATAAAAGGTCCAGAGTTCATTTCAGGTGTGCTATTTGCATTTGGAATCTGTTGCTATCAACTCTCAAGATGAGATCCAAAGAGCTGTCATTATCAGTGAAGCAAGCCATCATTAGGCTGAAAAACAAAACAAACCCATCAAGAGATAGCAAAAACATTAGGCGTGGCCAAAACAACTGTTTGGAACATTCTTAAAAAGAAGGAACGCACCGGTGAGCTCAGCAACACCAAAAGACCCGGAAGACCACGGAAAAAACAACTGTGGTGGATGACCAAAGAATTCTTTCCCTGGTGAAGAAAACACCCTTCACAACAGTTGGCCAGATCAAGAACACTCTCCAGGAGGTAGGTGTATGTGTGTCAAAGTCAACAATCAAGAGAAGACTTCACCAGAGTGAATACAGAGGGTTCACCACAAGATGTAAACCATTGGTGTCAAAAACAGGAAGGCCAGATCAGAGTTTGCCAAATGACATCTAAAAAAGCCTTCACAGTTCTGGAACAACATCCTATGGACAGATGAGACCAAGATCAACTTGTACCAGAGTGATGGGAAGAGAAGAGTATGGAGAAGGAAAGGAACTGCTCATGATCCTAAGCATACCACCCATCAGTGAAGCATGGTGGTGGTAGTGTCATGGCGTGGGCATGTATGGCTGCCAATGGAACTGGTTCTCTTGTATTTTTTGATGATGTGACTGCTGACAAAAGCAGCAGGATGAATTCTGAAGTGTTTCGGGCAATATTATCTGCTCATATTCAGCCAAATGCTTCACAACTCATTGGACGACGCTTCACAGTGCAGATGGACAATGACCCAAAGCATACTGCAAAAGCAACCAAAGAGTTTTTTTAAGGGAAAGAAGTGGAATGTTATGCAATGGCCAAGTCAATCACCTGACCTGAATCCGATTGAGCATGCATTTCACTTGCTGAAGACAAAACTGAAGGGAAAATGCCCCAAGAACAAGCATGAACTGAAGACAGTTGCAGTAGAGGGCTGGCAGAGCACCACCAGGGATGAAACCCAGCGTCTGGTGATGTCTATGCGTTCCAGACTTCAGGCTGTGATTGACTACAAAGGATTTGCAACCAAGTATTAAAAAGTGCAAGTTTGATTTATGATTATTATTCTGTCCCATTACTTTTGGTCCCTTAACAAGTGGGAGGCACATATGCAAACTGTTGTAATTCCTACACCGTTCACCTGATTTGGATGGAAATACCCTCAAATTAAAGCTGACAGTCTGCAGTTAAAGCACATCTTGTTCGTTTCATTTCAAATCCATTGTGGTGGTGTATAGAGCCAAAAATTTTAGAATTGTGTCGATTTCCCAATATTTATGGACCTGACTGTATATTGCAGTAATGCGCAGTAAAACACAAACGTTGCTACAAAGCACAAGTGTAAATGGGCCCAATAGCAGCACAGTGGTCTAGTGGTAAACATTGTGATCTTGCAGCACTGGGTTTGTGGGTGCAGGTCCCAGCCGAGACACTTTCTGAATACATGCATTTATACAAATCAGTTACCATCCAAAACAGTCAATGCATGTGTGTATATGAAGTAGGCAGAGGCACTGCATTCTACACTAGTATGGAGTTGGATTGATGTGAAATGGTACAAATGTACAATATGAAGCTCTGTGGAATTTGTCAGCAGTATAAAAATGTGTAATGTAAAATGAATAATACATCTGGTTCTTAGTTACTTTGTACAATTTTTTATTTATTGGTTTCAATTATTCATATAGTGCAGCTAATTCCACAAAGCTTTGCAGAGTACATAAACCATTCATAAGGAGCGCCCTGCCTTCAGCATGCTCCCTCTAAGTCTTGATATTCTTCCATGCTTTCACAGTCCAAGAACACAATGGGGTTGGTTTACTAAAGAATCAGGGGGCCATTCACTTGGCAAAATGTCCACTCTATAAATTGAATGATAGTAAGTGTGGTGGACCTGTGATCGTTTTGAAACATCCAATCATGTGCAAGGGAAATTACAAAAACAGTATTTTTACAAGCACATGATTGGATGATTAAAAATAACATAGCTACATCTTATTTATGTATTACAGATACTTATATAACACAGACAATTAATGCAGCACTTTACATACAATGGGTAAAATAAGTATTGAACATGTCACCATTTTTCTCAATAAATAGATTTCTAAAGGTGCTATTGACGTAAAATTTTCATCATGTCGTTAACCCATGCATAAAAAAAAACTGAAACAAATAAGTTCAGAAATTAAGTTTTGTGTAATAAAATGAAATGACACTGGGAAGTATTGATCACAGGAAGTAAGGGAGGTGCAAAAAGGCATGGAAAGCCAAGACATCAGCCCTTTTGTCAGTGCAAATTAAAATCAGCTAGTTCAGTCTCATATGATGGCCTATAAAAAGGTGTCTCATTACACAAGGTCTCACACAATAAACCTCTCATGATGGGTAAAAGCAAAGAGCTCTCTAAAGACATTTGCAACCTTATTGTTGCACAACATTGATGGCATTGGTTACACAAGGATTTTTAAACTTCTGAATGTTCCAGTGAGCACTGTTGGGGCCATAATCCGGAAGTGGAAAGAACATCATTTCACCATAAACTGGCCACAACCAGGTGCTCCTTGCAAGATTTCGGAAAGAGAAGTGAAAAGAATTATCATAGGGGTTGTCCGAGAGCCAAGGACCACTTGTGGAGAGCTTCAGAAGGACCTGGAATTAGCAGGTACAATTGTTTCAAAGAAAACAATAAGTAATGCACTCAACTGCCATGGCTTGTATGCACAATCACCACACCAAACTATTGCGGAAAAAAAAGCATGTTAAAAGCTCATTTAAAGTTTGCTGCAGAACATTTAAACAAGCCTGTGTAATACTAGGAGAATATAGTCTGTTGAGATGAGACCAAAATTGAACTCTTTGGATGCCATAATACACATCATGTTTGGAGGTCAAATGGCACTGCACATCACCCCAAAAACACCATACCAACAGTGAAGTTTGAAGGTGGGAACGTCATGGTGTGGAGCTGTTTTTCAGCATACGGTACTGACAAAGTTCATATCAATCGAAAAGGGATTAATGGAAAAATGTACCAAGACATTCTTGATAAACATCTGCTGCCATTTGCCAGGATGATGAAGATGAAACGAGGGTGGACATTTCAGCAAGACCATGATCCCAAACACAAAGCCAAGGAAACTCTCAATAGGTTTCAAAGAAAGAAAATAAAGCTGCTAGAATGGCCCAGCCAATTGCCTGACTTGAATCCAATCTATGGAAAGAACTAAAGATCAAAGTTCATAGAAGAGGCCCACGGAATCTTCAAGATTTGAAGACCGTTTGTGTGGAAGAATGGGCCAAAATAACACCTGAGCAATGCATGGGACTAGTTTCTCCATACAAGAGGCACCTTGAAGCTGTCATTACCAACAAAGGATTTTGTACGAAGTATTAAATACATTTCAGTTAGCGTGTTCAATACTTCTCCCCCCCCCCCCATGTCATTCCATTTTATTACAAATAACTTAATTTCTGAACTTAATTGTTTCAGTTTCTTTGTATGGATTAGATGGGTTGTTACCGACATGTGAAAATTTTATTTCAATAGCAACTTTAGAAATATATTTCATGGGAAAATTGGCGAAGTGTTCAATACTTATTTTACCCGCTGTATATATTATACATTCACCATATTCATCAGTTCCTGCCCTCAAGAAGCTTACAAATCGAAGGTCTCTAACTCAAATTCATACATACATATACCAGGGCCAATTTAGACAGGAGCCAATCAACCTACCAGCATGTCTTTGGAGGAAACTGGAGTACCCGGAGGAAACCAACAGGGGACACAGGGAGAACATGCACACTCCAGGCAGGTAGTGCTGTGGTTGGGATTCAAACTAACAACCCTAGTGCTGCTAGGCAGAAGTGCTGTGCTGCCCCACAGTGAACAATGTCCTTGCCTAAATAAACACAAATGTCAGGGAAATGTCAGGTTTACTGACTGCAACCTATAGTGGATCTAGAGGCTCTCCCAATGCTTCCTAGAATCTGTGACACACTGAAATATTGGCACTTGCCAAATGTGCCCAATGAAATCAATGGGAACACACTGTAACTGTATGCCAACCATTGCAATGCAAAATTCCCCCTGGGCTCGGAACAAAAAAAAGAAAAAAAAAGAAAAAAGAAAAAAAAACAGGCTTTCAGGAGGCAGTAGTATCGCCTTCTGAACCCCTGCAAACCACCTCTGAAAAGCGATCAACCACAGATTGCTTTTCTAAGGGATAGTAAACTTCACTGCTTTTGTGAAAGAGACCTTAATGTGTGTGTGAGTGGTATGTGGCTGACAGACAAGGTTCTGAAGGGACAGCTATGATTTTTGAGCTCATCGTGTTCTGTAAATGAGTGATGAATCTTTCCATGCTCTATTCATTCAATAAATACTGTAAATACAGCCAAACAATTTAATGACAGAACACTATAGTAGATAAAAGCACGACAACAGAAAAACAGTTGGACTGAACTGCCACATACTTGTTTCCGATTTTAACAACAAGGTTGGGATCATCAATGATGGAAGGATTGTCCACAAATTGCTGGTATGTTACCACTTGCTCCAAGAACTGCTCTATAGAAAAGAAAGATAAAATATCTGTAAGATAAATGGAACATACATTCCTCCATGTCACACAAGGAAATGAGGTGAGAAAAAGGGTGATCTGAAAAGTGCCCATTCTATACAGCAATATCTTCTCTGGCCTTGAAAGATTGCCTCGGAACTGACTGTCATTTTACATTCTGCAGCCTGACTTCAATTATCCTGTGAATGGTGTACACACAATACACACAATACCCACAGACAGAGCTGAAAGTGTATTAGAGATGTAACTTACAGTTACGGGTCATTTTATGTAAAGATAACATACAATTTTTGCAAATATGAAAAAATCAGCTATGTATTGGGAAAGAAAAAATGAATGGTGGAGGAACTTGACTGGCCTTCCCAGAGTCCTGACCTCAATCCGATAGAACACTTTTGGGATGAATAAGAGCAGAGACTGCGAGCCAGGCCTTCTCGTCCGATATCTGTGCCTGACCTCACAAATGTGCTTCTGGAAGAATGGTCAAACATACCCATAGACACACTCCTAAACCTTGTGGACGGCCTTCCCAGAAGAGTTGAAGCTGTTATAGCTGCAAAGGGTGGACCAACTCAATATTGAACCCTACGGACTAAGACTTACGATCCATTAAAGTTCATGTGCATCTAAAAGGCAGGCCAACCAATACATTTGGCAATATAGTGTATATGGCACACATAGGACTTAAGGAGTAGCCACAAAATGCGCTCCCTAATCTGTAGTGGAATGCTTTCCAGAGGATAATCAATGGAGGTTTGCAGACTTTTAGGAGGTGATATTGCCACCTCCTGAGGTCTATATATACAGTGCTTAGCATAAATGAGTACACCCCAGCAGATTTGCCAGAAAACCTTTACTTTCCTTTCAGAATAAACATTTTCTATGGGACACTATACTACAAAATACTCCCACAAATGCAGGCCATTGACTGCAAACAAGATTTGTTATTTGGACACACAAAAAAGTATGTTTCCTAACAAATTCATTCAAGACCATGTTGCAAAAATGAATACACCCCAATCAAAGTCTTAGGAGCCAAGCTAAATTTTAGACAACAAATTGCTAATTAACAAAAATTCAACTACTGGCGAATCTAATTAGTCATTATACAGGTGTCCAGCAGACAGTCGATTATGAAAGGGCTTTACTTAACATAGAAAACCCCTTCCCATTTCATGCTATCTGCAATGGTACTACATGGAAGAGAAATGTCACAAGCCCGGATTAAAAAAATACATTTCTTTACAAAAGAAAGGTGAAGGCTACAATAAGATCAGAAAAGCTTTACATATCAGTCAGAATACCGTAGCAAATGTGATACAAAAATGTAACAAAAATGGAACTGCAACCATCTCATAGAGACGTCCAGGCCGTCCACGGAAGTTAACACTTTTATAGGAGCATCTTCTGATAAGCGTTGAAGAAAATCACCATACAAGTTCACTGCAGTTAGCTAAAGAAGTAGAAAGCCAAACTGGGGTGATTGCTTCCGTGACACAATACTGCGTACACTGCAGAGGAATGGCATGAATGGGTGACATCCACAAAGGAAGCCTCTCCTAAAGCCCATGCACAAAAAGCCCACCTAGAATTTGCCAGGGTCCTTGCTGAAAAAGAGGACTATTGGGACTCTGTACTCTGGAGTGATGAGATCAAGATAAATGTTTTTGGAACTGATGGCTTCAAAACTGTATGGCGTCGTAAAGGTGAGGAGTAGAAATAACCTTTTATAATCAACTGTCTGCTGGACATCTGTTTAATCAATAATTAGACTCACCTGTAGTTGAATTCTTGTTAATTAGGATTAGGTTGTCCGAAATTTAGCTTTGCTCACAAGGCCGGCCATACATCGGTCGAAATTCGACCGATTTTTAGTCTGAAAATAGGACCTAAGAATAATCGGCTGTTTTTCGCTCTGTTAGTGGGTCAATGGCACAGGCCGATTTTCGTGGTTCCTCTCCTTTTCGGTGTTCGGGTATGTTGGAAAATTCGTGAAAAACGACCGATTTTGACTCAATGATGGTCAAATCGTACGATCGTTTTTTCCGAACAGAATTTGCGCATGAGCCATGACCTGGAGGGAACAGAAGTTTCGCCTGTTATATGGGGTGAACTGTATGATTTGGTTGGCTGATTTTTGAAATCATTGATGGCACCATCAGATTACCGAGCGAACAATGTTTTAGATTTTCAGACAAAAAATAGTTTGGAATTCACCCCATGTATGGCCTGCATAAAACTTTCATTAGGGTGTATTCATTTTTGCAACACGGTCTTGAATGAATTTGTTAGGAAAAATGTTTGTGTGTGTGTGTGTGTGCAAATTAAGAAATCTTGTTTACAATCAATTGCCTGCCTTTGTGGGAGTACTTTCTGATATAGGAAATGTTGATTCTGAAAGGAAAGGAAAGGTTTTCTGACAAATATGATGGGATGGTCTCATTTATGCTGTGCAATACATATATATATATATATATATATATATATATATATATATATATATATCTATATCTATATATATCTATCTACACAGTTGTGTTCAAAATAATAGCAGTCAGACATCACTAACCTGATCAATCACTGTTTTTGGTAGAAATGGTATTTCTACATGGCAAATAATTTACCAGCAGGTGTAGTAGAGTAATAGAAATCCAACAGACCCAACAGTCATGACATGCAAGCTGCTGATTCTGTGTAATTGAATCACTAATTGAAAGGGGCATGTTCAAAATAATAGCAGTGTGGAGTTCTATTAGTGAGGTCATTCATTCTTTGAAAAAAAGGTGGCAATTATTGCCCTTATTTAAGGAAGGAAGGCAGCAAATGTTGTACATGCTGGTTACAGTGCATTTCTCTCTGAAATTCTGAGGAAAATGGGTCGTTCCAGACATTGTTCAGAAGAACAGCGTACCTTGATTAAAAAGTTGATTGGAGAGGGGAAAACATATAAAGAAGTGAAGAAAATGATAGGCTGCTCAGCTAAAATGATCGCCAATGCTTTAAAATGGCAACCAAAACCTGAAAGACGTGGAAGAAAGCGGAAAACTACCCTTCGAATGGAAAGAAGAATAGCCAAAATGGCAAGGACTCAGCCAACAATCAGCTCCAGGAAGATCAAAGAAGGTGTAAAGTTACCTGTGAGTACTGTTACAATTAGAAGACTCCTATGTGAAGCCAAGCTATCTGCAAGAAGCCCCCGCAAAGTCCCACTGTTGGAAAAAAGACGTGTGCTGAAGAGGTTACAATTTGCCAAAGAGCACATTGACTGGCCTAAAGAGAAATGGCGCAACATTTTGTGGACTGATGAAAGTAAGATTGTTCTTTTTGGGTCTAGTGGCCGGAGACAGTTTGTCAGATGACCCCCAAACACTGAATTCAAGCCACAGTACACTGTGAAGACAGTGAAGCATGGTTGCGCAAGCATCATGATATGGGGATGTTTCTCGTACTACGGTGTTGGGCCTATTTATCACATACCAGGGATCATGGATCAGTTTGAATACATCAGAATACTTGAAGAGGTCATGCTGCCTTATGCTGAAGAGGAAATGCCCTTGAAATGGGTGTTCCAACAAGACAACGACCCCAAACACACCAGTAAACGTGCAACATCTTGGTTCCAGACCAACAAGATTGACGTTATGGAGTGGCCAGCCCAATCCACGAATCTTAATCCAATAGAAAACTTGTGGGGTGACATCAAAAATGCAGTTTCTGAGCCAAAACCAAGAAATAGAGAAGAACTGTGGAATGTAGTCCAATCATCCTGGGCTGGAATACCTGTTCACAGGTGCCAGAAGTTGGTTGACTCCATGCAACACAGATGTACAGCAGTTCTCAGAAACAGTGCTTATACAACTAAATATTAATTAAGTGATTCAAAGGAAAGCAAAATCTTCAAACATTTTTCAGTTTATATAGTGAATGTTTGAGTTTGTAAAGAAGAATACAAACACTGCTATTTTTTTGAACAGTCTAATATTCACTTTTCTTCAATTTTTTTTAGAGGAACAACACAAATTTGATCTATTTTTCTTCATGTTTTGATTTGGAATAGAATGTGTAGTGTTCCCAATGCATTTGTGTGTATGGAAATAAAAGCTATTAGAAGGATTTTGAGCTTTATTCACTTTTTTCAACACACTGCTATTATTTTGAACACAACTGTATATAATATTTGGGGGTTTGTTACTGCCCAATGGCAATACTGCATTGTAAGCATTTGGCTCGTAATTGTAAAGCAGTCCCAATCACTTCATATGGGAAAGTCTAATAGAAAATGCTACCTGTTAAACTCTGCATGTTGCGTTAAAAATTCTGCATCACGATGCAAAGTATTCGGCGGCTGCATCAATGTACAACTCCAAGTCTGCTGGTGGGTGAGCATTGAGGATGGGGGTGTTAAAAGCCGCCTGTTTTTACTGCCCCTTGGCTGGTCCATGTGAAAGGAGCCTTATTGGGCATGCAGCGTTTCAGTGGGGGGCACAGCCTACCTGTGTTCAAAATGTTAATTTTGGGTCTCCTCTTCAAATCCTGCATTTGTTGCTCTCCTTGGATGCATATATTATATTACCCCTGTTGTGCACCTTGGTATCTTTTCATTTTTCCATGTGCAGGATTGCCTCTACACACAAATATAGAGATTTTTATTTATATTATATATATATATATATATATATATATATATATATATATATATATATAATATCTCTATCAGCTCATTATCCTCATGACTGTGAATGTCTATAGATGACAATATGTTTGGACAGGCACAATAGTATGGTTCTCGTGTAGACGTCACCTCCAGCAAGATCCCCATATAGCAGTGCCTCAGTGTTGCAGTGTGCAGCCTGCGTTATTGGAACAGACATACTGAACATAAACAGATGGCATACAAGCCGCTAGCTCTAGAGGCGGCTGGCGTTAGTTCTGCTGAGGAAGTTTTAATGAAATCCACAAAGTACACTGGAAGATTGTAGAACAATGT